CCAGCTGCTGTCAGAATAGCAGAAGGGAGCTTGCAGCTGATTGACTGCAAGTTTAATTTTGCGAAGATTTCCCAACATATTCCTCTGGCACATATGATCACCTTCTGCTGAAGGAATAGGGTTACCAATGCAGCACATTTTGGCTGATGCAGCAGGAAGATGCTCAGTGTGTACCCAGCTTACAGAGGAAATGAACCCAGATCTTCAAAATGATAACAAAGACACCTTTATAAATGTTTAGTAATGACAATCTACAAACACATACTTCTAGATAATGGCAGGATTTTTATTAGTTGCAGACCTTATTTTTCTTTTCTTCCCCGGTCTTCTGACAGTGGCCATGTTAACTAAGGGCGGATTACTAGATCTCCTATTACTTCCTGGAACTCTGGCACATGCGACCATGCATATAATCTCAGGGGAGGAAAATGCCTTTCCCTGAGATCTCGTGATGAGATCTCCCAGCAACGCTCTGCTGATGTAACCTTCCCAGGATGCAACACTTGGGCACACATCACTAACGCCAAAGAGGACCAAGAAGTGGAAAAGCATTAATTGTAAGTAAAAGAAAAATATGTTTGTTTAGCTAATTAATGTAAGATGAAACGGTCCACTTTAAGTGTAACTTAACCGCAGCAGAGAAAAATCAGGTCTCTTGAATAGCCAGACAGGGCTGTGCTGTGTGGTACAGCTGTGTAAACCTCTGAAATGGATGGACAAACATAAAAATCCATTGGCAAGAAAAACAGTTCCTGTGAGGATACCATTTCATGTGTGTATTTGGCTGTTTGAATGGCTTCCGCTGTAACAGTATTCTCTCCAATACCCTCTAAAGGTGCACATACACTCTACAACCATCGCAAGACCTTAGTCTTGCCATGGTTGTAATCTAATTAAAAGCTTGTACGATCTGCCCATCTTGGACAGGCAGATTGTACTTGCGATCATCGAAGGCCCGCCCCGCTGGGCCCGTGCGCACACTGGCCCGTGCGGCATTGATCTTAGGATCATGCTAAAAACCAGCCGAAAATCATACGATTCTCGGCTGGTTTTCTAGCGTGCTCCTTAGACAAACGACGTGCGACCGTACAGTAGAAACGGTCGCACGTCTTCATTCACACCGCACAATTCTTGTACGATCGAGGGATTTCCCGCGATTCTCGTACGAGCATCGTGCAGTGTATGGGCACCTTTAGTTCCTACATCTGATAAATATGTGTACTTACGTTCTACTAAACGCTGGATCCATAATTCTCCTCTGTTTGTGCCAGTGGTCATAATCCCGATCTGTCACTAAGCCTTTTCCCAGGAACCTGGTATATGATAGAAAGAAGACACAATAATGTATTACAGCTAGAACATTCTTAATTCAGTAAACTCTCTGTTATCCGGTATTCAACTAACCAGAACTCTCATCTAACCAGAAACAAAAATCCCCTGTGTACTCACTGTTCTGCTGATCTGCAGCATGTATTATCCTGGAAATGATCACGTGTCTTATTTGTCTTCATTTGCTTTTGATTACTGCATTTAAATATTAATATGAGGTCAATGCAGAGTTTATGTTATGATATGGTATAGTATGGGGTATGGCATAGTATGGGGTATGGCATGGTATGGGGTATGGTATAGTATGGTATAGTATGGGGTAGGGTATGGCATAGTATGGGGTATGGTATAGTATGGCATATGGCATAGTATGGGATATGGCATGGTATGGTCTAGTATGTGGTATGGTATAGTATGGGGCATGGTATAGTATGGGGTATGGTATAGTATGGGGTATTGTATAGTATGGGGTATTGTATAGTATGGGATGTGGCATAGTATGGGGTATGGTATAGTATAGGGTATGGTATAGTATGGGGTATGGCATAGTATGGGGCATGGTATAGTATGGGCTATGGCATAGTATGGGCTATGGCATAGTATGGGCTATGGCATAGTATGGGGCATGGTATAGTATGGGGCATGGCATAGTATGGGGTATGGCATAGTATGGGGTATGGCATAGTATGGGGTATGGCATAGTATGGGGTATGGCATAGTATGGGGTATGGCATAGTATGGGGTATGGCATAGTATGGAGTATGGCATAGTAAGGGGTATATTATGGGGTATGGCATTAGTCAGACCTATTTTTAATAGTAACTCTCAAGCAACCAGAAACTACATATATCTGGAATCTACTAATCCCCATGGATGCCTGAAAACGGGGAGTTCACTGTATAACATTTGTATAACTAAAGGAAGCGATTGATTTGAGGCAGGTCGGCCATGTCGGTCTGCATTTTTTCCTTAGTACGGACATTCTCATGGAGACAAACAGACCATTAGGGATATCTGATCTTCTTCATTGGATCCACCCCCATACGATCCTTGAAGATGTGGTACGTACCGAACGCCAAACATGTTACACATAGTGTCGTAAAACATGTCCTTTGTGTATTTTGGAGACATCAGAAATTCCTATGAAAAGGTATAAAAATAGAAATGAGAACATTGCTCCACCTTACATTGAGTTATAATGGCTTATGTGTACTGTAAGGCCTCATTCACACACAACGCAAGCAAAATTGTATATTGCGTATATACGAGCGTCTATGTGTATATATATGGAAATTTTAATGAACTGTACGCACGTATACACTCGCAAACATGCGTATGCTCGTAAAATACGCAGAAATACGCTGCCCAGACGCATTTCGGTTCCATTCTGTTTTTGCGCATATATATGCTACGCAAATATACGGCTCCATACGCGGCTATGTGTATGAAGCCATTTATTTGCATATGTTGCATTTGGTACAATACGCACGTACGCGCGTATACATACATATATGCGCGGCAGTGTGAATGAGGCCTAAATGGAATTTTTATTATTGTTCTTCACATTGTTGCACTGTCCCTTGTGAGATATACTGCTTTACCATGTTGGTTGTGTGTTTAGATGAAGCACTGAGATCTTGAGGAATGCTAAACTAAGTTTTTTGCATGCTTAGAAGAACATTACACGTATGTATATGGCATTGTGAAGGAAAAACAAAGAGAGAACTTCCTGTGTATCGTAGATAAGCATGCACATAGAGATGAACATTGTACTACACTGCCATCTACAGCTCAAAAGACAAATTACAGTCAACAATACAATCAGGATATGCTTTTGCATTTCCAACCAGCTCAACTCCCCAGGCATGTATGCCTACCACCTGGCCTTTTGTATGCTATGTACACACCTGTTTGCCCAAATCCATGGCATGTACAGTGCTGTAATATGATGCTACCAGAGCTTTAAAGGAGAAGTAGACGTACTGGGAAGGTAAAATATATTCTTCCCAATGCTTAGAGCCGGTGTGGGACATTACAGCTGTCACAGGTTGGCTCCATATACTAAGAGCTGAGCGATCACAAAACATTGATCACTCAGCTCATGGCTTCTCTTCCTCCAGTGCTTATTGGAGGGACAGACCGGGGAAGGGGCGGGCACAGCTGGCTCTAGAGAGGCAGAGCCACCTGTCATTCATGCAGCTGGGTGGATTCTGACACTCTTGTCATTTTTCATTTCCTGCTGCAGCTCGGCTTTGTGTTGGCAGCATACACTGGGCAGTAGCTCACTATGTGCTAACTTTGGGTCACAGGAGACCCTTAGTAAAATTACTCCTGTTACCCAACAGAGAAGTAAAGCCAAAAAAAGGTTTGGCTTTACTCGCTCGGCACAGGGGCCATTCAGCCTAGAGTACTAGGCGTTCTCTAATTGGCTAGGGGCCTTGATGTTATATCCATACAGGTAGTACATGGAAACATTTACAGGGTTATTCACAGAAGGGTGAAGAGTTTGGAGAAGGCCGGAGAAGCGAACAATCTAGGACAACATAGCTGAGCTGGAAAACCTCTCCAATTCAGCTCACTTTCCAGTTCAGCTTTGTGGTCCTAGATTGTTCCCTTCTCCGGCCTTCTCCAAACTCTTCACCCTTTTGTGAATAACCCTGTAAGATATCCATCTATCAGTGTTTTCACCCAAGGTACACACAAATTTCACTCAAGATCTCTGTACATTTTTCTACTTGAATCTTTTGTAAAAATGTGTGACTCTTGGGTGAAGGTTGTGTGACTCTTGGGTGAAAACACTGATAAATAGACCCCTCAGCTCATTAAAGGTCCAGGGATGTCACATAGATGGGGTCACACATGTTATATTTAACTGCATCTTATGATGAGATATCTTATGTTTGCACTAATGCTTCAAAGGGCTCATTGAAGGTCCAGGAAAGTTACAGAGATGGAGATGTTCTTACCTTCACTGCTTCTGGGCTGACAGCCAAAACAAGCACCTGGTGTAAAAAATTAAGCCGTATAACCGGCCCGTACTTCTGGACCCTAAAAAGAAAGACAAAGTACGGAAACAGATACACTTATTGATCCTTGGAGTGTTTGGAACAACACCATATACACACCTTTTTGGGTCATTATTATTACTTTGGCTTTTTTTAAAGGCCCAGTCCAAATAATATTTACTTTATAAAGGGAGCCCGGTGGGCTCATTCACCTCCTGCCTTCTTATATAGCTAGGAGCATTGAACTGCATGATCTCCCTGCCATCATTCCCGCCTCTGTTCCTCTCTATCTGGGAGTTTTTGGAGTTCCTGTCTACATTTTTGCATTTATGCTCCTTCGGGTACATTGCCTTTAATATAAATAATAAAAGAATCCAGAAGGAAGGGTGGGAACTCCTCATACTAGGGACAAGTATGCATACTAGAGAACTCAGCACTTAGATTTAAGAATCTACTAGGTGGTCTTATTGGTTAGAACGTCAAATCCTGGTCAGGACACTCTCTGCAAGGCATTTGCATGTTATTCCTGTGCTTGTGTGGGTTTCCACCGGGTACTCATCTCAGGTTTCCTCCCACACTCCAAAGCCATGTTGGTAAGTTAATTGGCTCCTGTCTTAACTGGTCCTGTATATATCTTCTGATTATTATGGCCGATATTCAGACATTTTAAAATAATCGGTACTGGGCTTAAATTTACCGATATTACGGATAAGTGCCGAAGGGGATCCTCCACTGGCAGGCGCCCTGCAGCTGCAGGAGCAACCAGTGCCTCCATTGTGCCCGCACGCACATCCAGTGCCTCCATTGTGCCCCATTGTAAGCTCCTTGGGGACAAGGACTGATGTGAATGTGCACTATGTAAAATTGTCAGTGCTTTATGAATACCTTTAATAAATATTTTTTATGCACCTACCAAAAGCTGAGCCATCAGTGTTGTGTGGACTGACCCCTATTATATGATTATTTGCACTTTTCTCATAGACTCGCAGAACTCCACAATCTGTCAGATCCCAAAGCCATGGCTAATTGTTTTTTGTTGCTTATGCTCCCCCTTCCCCCCCTCTTGCTGTACGGCTTGGGTAGGCACCCTCAGCACTCCAACTGCTGTAGACCTACAAGTTCCATGAAGCATTGCAAGAGGCGTGATAACATTTGTAGTTTCAACACAGCTGGAGTTCTGTGGTCACCTACCCCTGATATAAGTTAAATGATTGCAGAACTTACCACTCTAAAAACAAGTCATACATAAGCTCATTTTTCTTGATTAGCTTCAATGTTGTGGGAATATGTCCAAAGATGAAGCTGAAAGTGTAAATACATTTCTGTTAGTGAGACAGTAGAGTGTATTCTCTGTAAACAAATATTTTTGTTACAATTTCCGGTTTCACCTTAAAGTGACACTAAACTCAGGAGTTAAATCTTAAAAATACATTCAAGTACCTTAACTATTAACAGAAATGTATCTTATTTGTGTATCACTCGGCTGTAGATCCTCCAATCATCTCTGAATTGGTGCTGACACCGTCCTTCCTTCTGGAGGGGGGCTACTTTTGTTCCCCATGGTCCCTGTGTGTGTTGTAAAGTAGTCACCGCTCCAAGCTCGCTCCTGTGATGGACTACAATCTCATGTTTAATTTAATAATTTGTATTGAGATTGTAGTCCAGCACAGGGGTGAGCTTGGAGCGGTGACTACTTTACAATACACACAGGGACCATGGTGAACAAAAGTAGCCCCCCTCCAGAAGGAAGGACGGTGTCAGCACCAATTCAGAGATGATTGGAGGATCTACAGCCGAGTGATACACAAATAAGATACATTTTTGTTAATAGTTAAGGTACTTGAATGCATTTTTAAGATTTAACTCCGGAGTTTAGTGTCACTTTAGATGTAAACATTTAGTTTGCTTCAGCACTGTGATGTGACCAGTTTTCCGATTACACACTAAACATGGGTGCAACATAGAACATGGTCAGAAAGGTAAAGTAAGCCTTTCAAACGTATTTTTATGATTGCCTTCAGTTCAGTGGCGTCACGTGGGGGGTGCGGCCCGCACTCGGGTGACACCATTGGAGGGGTGACACCAAAATGACTGGCAGTCATTTTGGTGTCACCCCCTCTAAAAAGTCAGGCACTCAGTCATGGACCAAGAGCCCGACAGTGTCAGGAGAGAGGAGGGGACCCGGCGGCGTACCTCATCCCGCTGGGTGAACGTCCCTTCCTCTCTATGCCAGCGTCCATCACAAAGATGGCCGCAGGCAGGCGTCAATTAGATGACCACGCATGCGCGATGACGTTATCACACACGCACGGTGACGTCACACGCGGTTATGTCACGGTGGGGTGTCACCCAGTCTCCGCTCCAGGTGACACCTGGCCTCGGGATGCCCCTGCTTCAGTTCATATGGTTAATGTAACTCGAATAATATAAGGTCCTCTTACCTGTCTCTGGGGGGGCCGGGAATGTGGTCATATTTCTCGTGCATGTAGAAGACATATCCGCAGAATAGGATAAAACAGAGTGCAACCAGGGCTAGAAGAAGAGCGAAAATCCAGAGAACAAGGGCCCACATTGTCACGGAGCCGCACGCAGACACCTTTGGGCTCACAGGAACACTTGTTAATACTAAATCAGCTGCTGAAAATAGGACAAAGGGCCGTCTTTAATTGCACAGCAACAAACTCGATTCCCCTGGATAGCCGATAGACCCAACCTTTTTCAGACTGAGGCATCTACAATAACACAGGGTCAGTGCAGTTCATGGCACAGTAATAGTAATAGTATTCTTTGTACATTATCAGCATAACACATGCTTCAACCCTGTGCTGCCTGCAAGGTTACAACGCAGAAGGCTGAGAAAGAAGCTGCTATGCAAATGTTGGAGAAGGCGGCTGTACATATCAGGGGCCCTTTAAGGGGTGACAATGTTTAATGGTGGTAGCAACATTAGCGATAAACTGTTTAAAATTAACTCCATTACAAAAACTAGAGGCCATCACCTAAAATTGGTGGAAAAAAAATTCCAGCACAAGGGGCGAAGGGGGTTCTTCACAGTAAGATCAGTTAGGGTCTGGAACTCACTGCCACAGGCGATGATTTCAGCAAATAATGTGGAATTGTTCAAGAAACTTTTGGACGATTTCTTAAGGGACCGTAATATACAGGGGTACAGGTACTCCTAGAATGAGATCCTAATAGGTTGGACTTGATGGACTAATGTCTTTATTCAACCTCAAATACTATGTAACTATGTAACAATTTTCTCCTTTGAGCTGCATATAGCTTTTCTGGCAATCAGGAAAATAGATGCATAAAGCAGGGAGATTTGTTAGATGGAGTCGTGTAGTGGACGTCTTGTGGGGAAGTAATAAAAACATTGTATCAACTTTGTCTTCTAGATTACAGACAATCAGCTATAACATTTTCATTTATTAAGCTGTGGGGAAAAAAAAAGAATATAGAAGATGATTGGTTGCTATGGGTGACTTCATCAATTGAGACAGAACTTGTCTCAGACACTTTTGGGTTGATTTATAAACATTATCTGCGAACGTTCATCCTGTTCATCATAGTTCTAGCCGACCTGTGACAATGAAACTGTCACACGTCGGCTCACGAGATCGGGAAGTGAGCGAACACATAGCGCCGCTCGCTCACTTCTCGATCATGTCCCTCCAGAGAGCCGTCACTGTCACTCACAGCTCCCTGCAGGGATTCCCCCCTCCCCGCTCCGATCCTCCAGCGCTGACTGGCGGGAATGGACGGGGGCGGGCAGAGCTGGCTCTGCCTCTAGACAGGCAGAGTCAGCTGTCACTCACGCATCGGGGTGGATCCAGACAGTACTGTCGGGATCCGTCTCGGCTGCGGCGTCTCAGTATACTGGTATACTGAGCGGTATACTGAGCTTTGGGTGACGGGAGGACGCCAGTTTGTGTCCTCCCGTTACCCTTAGGAGAACTATGGGGAAATGCCCTGACCCCATAGTTCTCCTTTAAATAAACATAGGAGAGCTGCAAGCAGTAGCTTGGCTCTTGGGAAGAATTATGCAAATATTAAAATGCTTTAACTGAGTTGACATTCCTATGCAGACTATATTTGCATGCAGACTGCCCTAGACAGCGCCCACATGTGATGATTAGCCCCCATGATTGAACTGAAATCCAATAAATGAAAGGTGTGCGACAGTCAGGCTGGGGAGGAAAGAGCTAGATAATGCCAGACACCCTACAGCCAGAAAATGAGACGGGCTCTGTGTGACTTGCTGCAGCTTCTAATGCACATTGTGAGAAGCTGACAGTGTGCTGTGAAATCAGAGGAAGCCATTTCAGTCCAGTCTATCAAGTTACATCAGTAAGATTTGTGTTCACAGACTAATGTTCAATTAAGATTTTGTTCATTTTTAGGTTCTAAAGGAGACTTTGAGATTATACTCACCAGCTCCTGGAACATCACGGCTGGTGGAGGAAGAGATAGTCCTTCATGGTGTAAAGATTCCCCCTGACGTCACTGTAATGGTACGTTCCATCACTGTAATAAAGATCATCTGTAACCTTTTGCAGGAATACTAAACTATAACTCTAGAGGAGAAAATCGAGAACTTAGCAGTGGAAATGTGTCCTTAAAGCTGAACTCTGGGCATCAAAACTTTCATTTAAATATATTGCTCAATAGCCACAGAGAATAAAATCCACTTTTTTCGTACCAAATACCTTTCAAAATCCAGATATTACTTTTCAAAAGTAGCAGTGACATCATCGTCAATTTATACATAACCTGTACAGAGTGCGCCGATACCGTAAGTCCCATTAAGGAAGCCAGGCGGCATGTAATGACTCGCCACCTGGCTTCATGAGTAGCAGGGAAGCTCTCTCCATGCTCACTCATCACCCGGTGACGAGGAAGCATGCAGCCAGCTTTCTGGCCAATCAGGAAGTTGGGGGGCGGGTAATGACACGCCGCATGGCTTCCTGATTGGCCAGTTTCTCGACCAATCAGGAAGCTAGGCAACGAGTCATTACACCAAGTGACGAGGGAACATGGAGCCGGCTTCCCAGCCAATCAGGAAGCCGGGCAGCATGTAATGGCTCGCTGCCCGGCTTTCTGATTCCGGAAGTTCGGGTATCGGGCTGGGCATCAGAGCATTTGTGCGGGTACGAGTAATCTCCCAAATATTGGGTATCGGCAGCGATACCAGTATCGGTATCGTTGCCCCCCTAGTTTAGACACTTTGATATCCTTCTGGAGGGGGGCTATTTTTGTTCCCCTTGGTCCCTGTGTGTGTTGTAAAGTAGTCACCGCTACAAGCTCACTCCCGGGATGGACTACAATTTTGATACAAATTAGTAAACTAAACATGAGATTGTAGTCCATCACAGGAGCGAGCTTGGAGCGGTGACCACTTTACAACACACACAGGGACCATGGGGAACACAAGTAGCCCCCCTCCAGAAGGAAGGACAGTGTCAGCACCAATTCAGAGATGATTGGAGGATCTACAGCTGAGTGATACACAAATAAGATACATTATTGTTCATAGTTAGGGTACTTCAATGTATTCTTAAGATTCAACTCCTGAGTTTTTTGTGTCACTCTAAAATTCGTCTACATTAGTGTTGACTTTACATAATTCATTGAATCAGAGACAGCATACATTTATTTCTTGTTCTCACTGCAGTTCAATTCATACGTCATGGGAAGGATGGAGCGTTTTTTCCAGGACCCCCTTGTCTTCAACCCAGATCGGTTCCACCCTGATGCAGCCGAGTAAGAACTGTTCTCTGCTGTAATTATGCTGGTCATACATAATGACCAGACCCCTAAATAATACACTGTTCACCCCTCAGCTACTCCCAGTATTCTGTATTCAGAGAATATTTAGGATGCCGTTGCTGACCTCTCCTTCTGAAAATACACATTGTATGGCTGTCCATTGGCTTAATTGCTGTCAGAGGCACTCACCTTGAACAGATATGCGGATCAGAAGTCCGGATTTGACTTTGGAATGCGTTTTGCTTGTTCCAGGTCAGCGACTCGATGTACTGAAGCCAGAAACAGCCAACCAAATAGTATTCTTAAAAGTGGGTGAACAGTAGCGGCCCCTATACCTAAAACTGTCTGATATTCTAAATGGCAGCACAATAGAATTCAAGTCTTGCCCAGTTCTCTGTTTATGTATTCTTTGTTTCCATAGGCCGTACTTCTCATATTTTCCATTTTCTCTGGGGCCTCGGGCCTGTGTTGGAAAAGTGTTTGCACAGGTAAGTTAATAAGGCCCTTTTCTACAACTGTCATATACATGGTATACTATAATAAAGAAGGACTTCCCAAAACGTATTTTTTCTATTTTGGGTAAGTCCCAGGGAAATGAATCACTTGTTTGTATCACAGTATAGCTCAGACATCTGTTCAGTTGACTTCTATCACTATCATCAAACTATAGAAATACAACAATTTTGAGGTCTATTTATAAATAATTTGCCCTGCAAATCTCTGTGCCGATACCGAATACTCGTACTAGGCCAAATGCTCCGAAACTTACCTCCCATACCAGAACTTCCAGTCAGAGGGAGATCTCCCCCTGACCGGCAGTGCCGAGGGAGTCAGCTTCCTTTCCAATCAGGAAGCCAGGTGGTTAAAGAAGGGGTTAAAGTTCAAGATTGCGCAGCACCTGATAGGCAGCCCACCAAAGAAGGTTGACATGCTGATGCTAGTTGTGAGGCAGTGACTTAAGCGTTGTCAGCCTGAAACAGGAAGTGCTGTTACTGGCAGGCGAGAAAGAAACTTGGCAACAAAGTCACAAAAAGTGATTTGCTTCAGGAAACTGTATACAGTGAGACATGACGGCAGACATACTGAAAATAGTTTAAAGTGACATTAAACCCTCAGATTTTTTAACATAAAACAATACTGTAATGTGCGCCTTACTGTAATCCATGGTAGTTTCCCTTCTCTTTGCTGCTCTTCCTTTTAAATCTGTATCTGTTCTCATGCTCTGCAGAACTTCTGTTTTGCAGCAGACTGCCTTGTCTCAGGAATAGATACACGGTGTCTGTGTATAGGTTTGCATAGGCTTGTAACCTTAGCCAGCACTACAGGAAGAGGCCCTGAGCTGAAAAGGGAAGTTCTCCCCAAGCATGAGAAGACATGAGGATTTAAAAGGAAGAGCAGCAAAGAGAAGGGAAACAACCATGGATTACAGTAAGGCGCACATTACAGTATTGTTTTATGTTAAAAAATCTGAGGGTTTAATGTCACTTTAACTGTTGCACCGGTGACGAATTGTCAGCAACAGAAGGACCCAGAAGGGTGCTGCAGGTAAGTGACTGCGCATTACACTTACATTGTTTGTTTGTTTTTTTATATTGAGAGGACAGGGTCTCTTTAAGATATACAACTTTGATAGGAAGTATGAAGTGACAACAAGTATGTCTGCCTGGAATAAATCAATATTTCACTATCATCCTTGAACAGAAAAACGAATCATCGATGAGAAATAATTTAAAGAAGATAACGTTACGTAGTTGACTATTTTTGAGTAACACAGACATGTTTATATCATAAAATAGACACTATTATTATATAAATCACCATGTACAGTACAAATAGACATTCAGGTTTCTTTTTGCATATCATGCCCTATAGTTCAACAGATCATATCCTACTCATACACATTAACAGAGAAGTGAGATAAACCAAAAGGGGTTAGCTCAAAGTGCAGCTAGTAAAGAGGGTCGGAGAGTCAAAATATAGTACAAAATGTATTGATTATAAAAAATTCCTTGGACAGACTAAATGCACCACTTCAACCGACACCCATAATACATCTTAAAAATGGTTATTGCAACAACCCGTTCACTCATAAAACACAAACATGCACTCTTTGGACAAGCTGATTCATGTATTGAATAATGCCGGATGGTCCTCAGAGTATTTGAGGAGACAGCGCTCCGACTTTAGTTATAATCTGAATAAGACTCGGAGGATTTCACTTCTTGTACCCGGGGACCTTCATTCTATTGCATTTGTACCTTTTCAGTAGATCTGAAAAGATTGGGATCTCTCAGGCTGATAGTGTAGCCAGTCAAATGTCACAAATGTAACCTTTGCTCTCAATGCAGAGCTGGCGTTACTCGGAGTGAAAAGCTTGATTGAAGGTAAATCTTAGAAGCTCAGAGACTTAAATAGTGGGCCGGTGAGTCATGGAAAGTAATATCACCCTGAGTAATGATCACACATGGAGGAAGAATCGACCAAACAGTGCGTAAAGTCTCGAATATGTTGTACTCACGGGTGCTGGATTGCTTCACCGGGCAGTCCATTTCAAGAGGTATAGAGTGTCTCTATGCCAAGCTGCTCCAGACAGTCCTCTTTAATATTGGTTAGATAATCCACTTGGAGAGAAAGTCAAGGGTTCTTGGATAGTTTCCTGATGTGAGAAATGATGTTAAAAGGTCCCAGATTGTTTTATCGATGAGGAAATCCTTATGTCACGATGTTTTGTAATCCCAAACCGGGAAGTTAGATACCTGACATGCAGGTGGTTAGTCAGCTTAACGTCCACTACCAGATGACACGTTTCGCCCCTCCTTTGTTCTCAGGGCTTCGGAGGGGCGAAACGCGTAATCCCGGTTTTGGATTACAAAACAGCGTGACATAAAGATTTCCTCATCGATAAAATCAAAACCATCTGGGACCTTTTAACATCATTTCTTACATCAGGAAACTATCCAAGAACCCTTGACTGAATGAAACGGACTGCCCGGTGAAGCAATCTAGCACCCGTAAATACAACATATTCGAGACTTTACGCACTGTTTGGTCGATTCTTCCTCCATGTGTGATTATTACTCGTCAGGGTGATATTACTTTCCATGACTCACCGGCCCACTATTTAAGTCTCTGAGCTTCTAAGATTTACCTTCAATCAAGCTTTTCACTCCGAGTAACGCCAGCTCTGCATTGAGAGCAAAGGTTACATTTGTGACATTTGACTGGCTACACTATCAGCCTGAGAGATCCCAATCTTTTCAGATCTACTGAAAAGGTACAAATGCAATAGAATGAAGGTCCCCGGGTACAAGAAGTGAAATCCTCCGAGTCTTATTCAGATTATAACTAAAGTCGGAGCGCTGTCTCCTCAAATACTCTGAGGACCATCCGGCATTATTCAATACATGAATCAGCTTGTCCAAAGAGTGCATGTTTGTGTTTTATGAGTGAACGGGTTGTTGCAATAACCATTTTTTTAGATGGATTATGGGTGTCGGTTGAAGTGGTGCATTTAGTCTGTCCAAGGAATTTTTTATAATCAATACATTTATAAATTTTGTACTATATTTTGACTCTCCGACCCTCTTTACTAGCTGCACTTTGAGTTAACCCCTTTCGGTTTTTCTCACTTCTCTGTTTATGTCTTGTAAAAGCAGCTGGGGGTTGTCTCCTTTGAGAGTCACTGATGAATGAATACACTCTAATTAATTCTGGGTTTGGTACTCTGGGTAAAACGCTTTCTTTTCACTTACTCATACACATTAACCTTCTGAGTTGAATGACATGGGGCATCATTCAGTCTGGAAGACTGAGGACATCTAGTGGCAAAAAGGCATTACTGACCCCAGTTGCCATATCATGGACCATGACAGATTATTGTATTGCAAAGGCTTTTCTTCATCTGTATTTATCTATACATACTAAATGAGGGTATGTACGTAGGCTGCGGTTTAATGCAGGGCCTATGAATAGTTCTTGCACAAGATCCTTTAGAGATTTGGTACATTACGGAGCGCCAGGTATATTACTCACGGCAATAATAAAGCTGAGCTACAGGCAGATATACAGGGCCATCCCTAAATTATTCACCACCTGATGTGGCCAGGATAAGGGGAATCAATCAAGCTGTCAAGTGTGGAGGGGATGTAGGCTGAGCTGTCAGCCGGGCGGGAGGTGCTGGGCGACTGAGCTATCAACCTGGTGGCAGGTGGCTGAGCTGTCAGCCGGGGGTAAGGGTGGTGTGCTGTTAGTCGGCCCTGTTGCTGCCCCCCACTCCACACACACACACACACCTGCCCCCCCAATGAGATGCAGCCCGAGGCTACCGCCTCATTATGGGGATGCCCCTGCAGATATAAAAGGCACAAATATAATGCAACCCTGTAATCACTAGTACATTCTTAATTATGTTTTAAATGCAAACAGTGTAAGTCCCTAAATTTGACCTGGTATCAGCCTCTTGCAGTTCCTGTGCTGCAGAGATGGAGTGGGAGCGGAAGAAGCAGTACAACCAGCCAATAGGTTCATTTGCTGACAAGAAACATGCTGATTGGATGAGAAAGCAGAGCGAAGAGTTAATCACTGTTTTGGTTCTTCTTACACTTCCAGTCACTGGGGCACATCACGGACAGCCTGGGCTCAGGAAGAGAGTAAAATGATGCCCCGAACTTGAGTTTGGGAACTTGGGACTTGGGAGAACTTGGGAGACAAAGAACTTCAATCATCTATAGCTGTCTATGCATTTTTAGTTTAAAGTGCCTACGTTTTTCTCTATATTATCTCATAGTACATAGACATTTACATACTATTGTTGTATGAGTTAGTTTTGATATAGTCATGACATAAAAAAGTATAAAAGTCTATTTATTTGTGGTTCCAGAGATTGTTCGGGTCCTCAGTCTACATATTGCCCCGCCCATGGGCCGCAGAGAGCCTGTGTCATAAATCTTGAAGCTTTGTCCTTCTACCAACTCAAACTCGAATCTCTGCAGGAGCTTGGCCATTACCACCTTCGCCTCCATCTGTACAGAGACACAGGTAATCAGTTTCAATGTTCACTTCACCCAACAGTAACATTGTAATTACAAATAATTCTTCTCATATATCATAAATGTTCCAGTAAGGAGATCTCCACGCTGTAGTTCCTGAGCCTGTTGCTGTTCACATTGGAGGTTTAGGTTTTCCTGTGACCCTTTGTTTGCTCCATCTCCATATTATAAAAGAAATGTAAACATTCAGCAGGGGAATGGGAGACCCTTATAATGGCCTCATCAGGTGCACAGATCTCAATAGCTTAAACATGGACATCTCACCTATAGAGTCTGCAAAATATATAAGAATTTTTCAGATGGATTAAAGCTGCGATGCTCAACTGGTGGGCCGTGGCCCAGAAGTGGCTCGCCACCTCGTGTTCATTTTTCCCTCTCACGTTCGGCAAAGTTGCAACTTTCTTTTAAAATCATGGCAGGGCGTCATGAAGAACTCTCATGGAGCTCAAACGAGAGTTCCAGATCTTTCCACCCAAACATGCATTGCACGGGGATTACACCATATGAATTACATCCAACACAGTACAGGGGGATGAACCCATAATTGGCTCCTTTTGACTCTCCGACTCGTATGCAGTGGCGTCATGCGGGGGGTGCGGCCCACACCTGGGTGACACCATTGGAGGGGTGACACCAAAATGACTGACAGTCATTTTGGTGTCAGCCCCTCTAAAAAAGTCAGGCACTTGGTCATGGACCAAGAGCCCGACAGTATCAGGAGAGAATAAAAATGGTAAAATCCGCGCTTGTGGGTGAGTACAGTTTAGAAGCTGCTGCGCTATGGACCCAGGGGTCAAACTAATAAAGTGCTAAATGTGCAGCGCTAAAAATATTACTAAGTGATACAGTGTAATCAATAAGAATATTGAGAATAATAATAATTAAGAATGATAAAGTGCAAATCATCAAATGAACATATAAAATATAAACATATAAACCCAATATGTGGTAGGCTGTATATGGCCTCAGTGTAGACAATTAAATCACTCCTATGTGACTAGAATGGTGATAACTTCAAAAAAAGTGCAAAACTTCAGTTCTCTTTTATGCTTTTATAAACCCCTGACGGACGGGACATTGCTGAGAGAGAAACCAATGGATGTGGACCCTTTGATCTAATCACACTGCTTTACTTTCACAACAGTGGGGTGAGTGCGCACCCCAGAGGGGAAATTTCCTTGGAAAACGTACACAGTGGTGTGGGAAGAACCTTTTTTGCAAAGATTTTTTTGATTTTCAAATGCACCTTGAATTCATCACCTTTTCGCACTTGGATTTATGTTAGATGATTTATGTTAGATGGTTTATGGTAGATGGTTTACCATCTGGGACTGATTTAACATCGATTATGCTATTATTATTTTAGCTGATACACAGCTATCTGAAGTTTTTTATAATTATTGCACTTTATCAAAGTTTTTTACAACTAAAGTTTTATAACTGTTGCACTTTTTTGAAGTTTGCACTTTTTTTGAAGTTATCACCATTCTAGTCACATAGGAGTGATTTAATTGTCTACACTGAGGCCATATAGAGCCTACCACATATTGGGTTTATATGTTTATATTTTATATGTTCATTTGATGATTTGCACTTTATCATTCTTAATTATTATTATTCTCAATATTCTTATTGATTACACTGTATCACTTAGTAATATTTTTAGCGCTGCATATTTAGCACTTTATTAGTATCAGGAGAGAGGAGGGGACCAGGCAGCATACCTCATTCCACCGGGTGAACGTCCTCTCTCTGCCGGGGTCCATCACCAAGATGGCCAACGGTAGGCATCAATTAGATAGCGATGACATCATGGCGGGGTGTCACACGTTCCCTGCTCCTGGGTGACACCAGGCCTCGGGACGCCCCTGCTCATATGTATGGATCTGAGATAGGGACCTTGGATTGGAAGCTCCTTGAGGGCAGGGACTGATGTATATGTGCACTGTATAAAGCGCTGCGTAAATTGTCAGCGCTATATAAATACCAGTAATAAAATAAATAAACCCAAGGCTCCAACAGGCAAACAGGGCCGTGGAAGAGTGATAGGGAAAGTAAATATTCGTGGCTGAGGGGTGGTGGGCCATAAAGACAACTTGTCACTTTGCCCTGGGCAAACTGACAAGTTTATTTTCAAATCATGGTAGGGCCTGGCAAAGACCTCTCAGGGAACTCATATAAGAGTTCTTCATCTTTCAACCCAAACATGCAATGCAAAAGGTAAACTTTGACAAAGAGGCGTAAGTGAAGTATTGTAATACTCCTTTACAGCACAGTTTGCTCTTCACTATCTCTATGTGAAGGGAAGTGCTGATGTCACTGTTAATTTTACTAGATAATATCTGGGGTTGTAAAGGGATTATGTGCACACAAAGTGGAATTTAATCCCTCGTGGCTATTGAGAAATATATTTGGATTCATTTTTTTGGCATTTTTGTGCTTTTACCTGCAAGTGTTTCAGTAGGTGACAGGGTCTCTTTAAGTGAATTCAGTACCTTATGTAGACTGTAATTGGGTCAGTGGGTGTGGTGACGGTTTTTTGGATCTTACCATCAGGGATGTTTTAGCGGGAATTCTCACACCCCCTATAACAGTTTCTTCTTCTAGGGCACGTGATGTGCCGGGAGCAGGAGGGTACATTCTTAAGCTTTCCTTCAAGACCTAAAAAAAGATGGTGTGTTGTTATAACTGTTTACTAATTGCAAAACAAACCTGTTACTCCTACAGAGATTCTGATCTGTCCTGTGTCCTGTGCACACTTCCTGTGTTATCAAAAGGAGACCTCCTACTTATCTAGGACTACAGAATGATTAGTGGAAGTGGTTGAGTAGTTTAGAAAAGGACAACTGGTAGGGCTGACACCATGCAGTCCCAACAAGGCTGTATGTTGTCAGCCTGCACCAAGGCTTAATGTGATATTTAAGTCAAAATGTTTTAAGATATTCCAATGGAGCCACCCTTATGTGTGTATTAGTTAGCTGTGTGTGTCTCCACAAACACACAGGTAAAACAAGCTGGTTCTCTTTTTGTGAAGATGAGGAAGGGCAGAGATGCTGGAAACTGTCTTCAGTACTGATTTCAATTGAATAAAATAGATAAAGCATGTAGGGAGTGCCTCACTTACTGGAATTGTGGATTATATATTGGAGTGGGTAATGAACACCGGCATAGAGATGTTTGAGGACATTTGCAACTCAACTATCTGGTTGTATATATATATTAGCGATGCACCGATATATATATATATATATATATATTAGTGATGCACCAATACTGGTTTTTCGGTACTGAGTACGAGTACCGTTATTTTTTTTTTTGGTACTCGCCTATACTGAATACCGATACCGGCTTCCCGAGGTACCGTGGGCCCTGCTTATCAGGAAGCCGGGTGGTGGGTCATGCAATTCCTGGGAAGCTGGTGTACTATCGAAAGAACACTGGCTTCACGATCCCTCGCCAAACTGCGAGGCAGCCTGGCTTCCTGACCAATCAGGAAGTTGGGCGGCACGTCATGCAACAAGTGAAGCTGGCTTTCTAGCCAATCAGGAAGCCGGGAGGTGGGTCATGATGTGCCACCCGGCTTTCTGATTGGTCAGGAAGCCAGGGCTATCTAGCAACAAGGGAAGCTGGCTTCCGAGCTAATTAGGAAGCTGGGAGGCGGGTTATGACGTGCCGCCTGGCTTCCTGGTTGGCCAGAAAGCCGGCTCCGTGCTCACTCGCGGCACTGCCTCTGAACAGAAGTTCTGGTATTGGGGTATGTATTGGATCATTTGGGCGAGTACAAGTACTCGCCCAAATACTCGGTATCGGCATCAGATTATGTCCCTTCAAAGGGTTTAGTTTTAAAGATAGAGGGACTTGTAAACGATTATTTTATCTACCTGAGACAGATATTGCAGCTTTCCAAGATCGTCGTAGTCAAGGTCTCTTTTGGAACCCAGAACTTCATCCACTTCGTCCTGGGCCCTGGAAGGTAAACAGAGTTTGTTGTTTAATATGATTAATATGAGACCGATGTGCTGTGAGTTGTGTCTGTTTAAACTGCAAAAGGTTTTAGAAGTTTTTTTTATACTAAAACATCTAAGTTGATATTAAATAGTTAATATACAGAATCTAGTTTGATATAATACAGAAAAATGTTTTAACAATGAGGAATGAACATACATAAATGATACCCCATTACCCACAAGAACGGTTTGATTTGTTAAAGGATGATACATCTGTAGAGCCGTATGTTAATCTTATTATGTGTCTCACTTTTTCAGAATGTCGGGGTTCCGTGCCAATTCTATCACTGTGAATGATAACTGGTTGGCAGTTGTTTCTTGCCCTGAAAACGACACAGATCTGTTTAAAGAGACAGTATAAGCAAGCACAAGAGCTAGCAATCGCCAGGGTTAGATTACAAGAACCAGAGAAAGAAAGCGAAGCAAAACTGGAGCTTGCTAATGACAGCCAATCTGATAACTTGCTGAAGGTGAAAGATAAAATCTGAGTGGTTGTTGTAGGATATTGCTACACATTTACCTTAATTTGCATTGCTTCAGTGTTTGGAAGCCATGCCCAGGGCCTCACTAAACTTGCAGCACCAGCACCCTTTCTTAACCAATGACACCACCAAACTACTAGCTCACTCCCTTGTTATCTCTCACCTTGACTATTGCAACTCCACCCTTGTTGACCTACCTCTACATAGGCTATCCTCTCTTCAGTCTATCCGGAATGTTGCTCCCAGACTCATCCACCTTACCAACCACTCATTATCTGCCACTCCTCTCTGCCCATTCCTCAACTGGTTTCCACTCACCCAACAAACTAAATTCAACTAACAACATATTACTATCTATTTATACTAACAACGGCATACAAAGCCAACCCCAACTCTGCCGCAAGCTACATCACCAACCTTGTCTCAAATATCACCCAAACCATCCTCCTCACTCTCCCCCTAGACCTCTTGCTCTCTAGCTCCCTGTTCACATCGTCCCATGCTCTCCTCGAGAACTTCTCTAGAGAATCTCCAATCCTTTGGAACTCCCTAACCTAACGACTATCTCTTACTCTGTCCGGCTTTAGGCAATCCCTGAAAATTCATCTCTTCAGGGAAGCCTATCCTGCCTCAGAACCACAAACCTAAACTTTAATTTTCTCCATCAACTTATCCCCAGACACTTACTACCTTTTTGTATCACTTGCTCCTCTCCTTTTAGATTATAAGCTCTCACGAGCAGTGCTCTCCTAACCCTCTTGTGTTGATTTGTATTGTAGCTATACTGTGCCCCTTTATTTTGTAAACTGCTGAATTAATCCTGAATAATAATAATAATAATATCAGTTTTATATTAATCATTTTCCGGCCTCTCCTAAAAATGTTTCTATTGCATCAATATATATTTTTTTGTAGCACAGCAAAGAAAAGCTAATAATAATAATAATAATAATTTGGTGCTCCTAGGCCTATGTTTGTTGTGTCTTATTCTACATGCAGTTCTATCTGCTCATTTAAATTATTTTATGTTAATAGATTCGGTTACAAACCTGCGATGAAGAAAGTAACAAAATTATCCAGCAAACCTTCCATGTCACAACCACCTTCCTGGGCTGTGAAAAGAGGAAAGATAAAATGAGTCTTTCTTGGAAAAAAAAGAAAATACTTATCGCTAGATGTGTGATTAGCAACAAGATCGGAAACTCTGCCTTATTTTTTTCTAGGTATGGTCCCTATGTATGGTCTCTAGGTATGGTCTCTAGGTATGTTTTGTATCATGACCCGTGCAAGCAGTAAAGAACGAGCATAGGGGAAAGTTGTTCTAAATGAGCTTTATTGCTTTTGCATAGAATTGATCTCGTTACCTCTTCTATACATGAGATTTTTTTTAACTTACCTTCCCCTTTGAGGATCTGTGTGAGTATATCCACTGGAATGTCGTCTCCCTCTTCAATTGCCTTTAAATACATTCAGACAGATCATTCCCCTCACAGAGACTATGGGCTAAGGGCATCAATCTACAGTACTTATTATGGGCCCACATTCCAAGACAGATTGGAAAACATATCAATCAAGTCCTCACCCTGATAAAAGGGTTTCTCATTTCCACTAATCCTCTCATAGCCAGGGATATGGCCCGAGGAAACGGAGTCTGATCATCTTCAATGGAATTCAGGTCCATCCCAAAAGCTACCTAGAAAAAAATAAGACAATGAATTAAAGTGTATGTTGAAGCATTGCTACATTAACCCTAAACCTCCTCCCTCTGCCCCTCTAGAGCATGTCCCAGAAACAACTTTTCTTACGCCCTTTGAATCCATCACTAGGCTTGTAAATTGTTGCAAGGGAAGCTGCTGGGAGGTAATTTTCTACTGTTGTAAGCATGCCACCCATAACTACTTCTCCTAAGAGCCATTTCCCTACACACAGTGTGTGGGCAGGCTAGGGTTGCCACCTTTTCTTCAAGTGAAACCAGAACACTCTAGCGCTGCATGCAGCAATTATCAGGTGGTTATGCGGGCTCCCAGATGGGGTATGCGGGCTCTCAGATGGGCTATGCGGGCTCTCAGATGGGCTATGCGGGCTCTCAGGAGGCTGTAGAGGGTCTCAGGTGGGCTATGCAGGCTTTCAGGAGTGCTGTGCGGGCTGTGTGGTGTATCACCAGGGGTCCAGAGGCGGGCAGCATGGTGTTAGGAAGACAGAGATGTTTACAGGCACCTGCGGCTCACAGAAAGACTGCTGAGGTCCCCAGCAAGCACGGGACCTCAGGCAGCTGCATCTGGCAAAAAATTTAAAGTGCCAGCACTTAGAGTCTTGTGTCCGGGTGCCAGCTGGCCTGAAACTTAGACACAGGACTCAAAAACTGGACTGTCCGGGTGAATCCTGGACATGTGGCAACCCTAGGGCAGGCTCTTGGGTGTCAAGGCAGCAGCATTGTTTTGCTGGTAAAGAATCCAGCATGTGGAGGAAATGTGCACTTTTGGGGAGGAATAGACTACCTTCAGGCATACCTGTCCTCAGTGTATTCATTGCTATATATGTCCCAGGATGGAAGCTCTAGAGTCCACACAGAGGGGCCTGGGTGAAGAAGTGTGGTTTCCTCATATACTGCGCATATGCAAATGTCTGCAGCTAAAACCTCTGTTTTGGATGCAAATATGCAAATTGTAAATTTCTTTTTGCTGGCTAGGGGGTATGAGTGCTGGAAATGTTTACATTGTTTCATGAAATGCCCTTTACACCTTTAAAATGTTCGTAGGAAATTGATTGGAGCTGCTGCCATTTTTGTCTTGCTTACTGGATTTGGTGCGAGGATACACTGGAGGTCTTCAGTTGCCATTGAGCTGTGCTGGGATTCTGGTTTGTTCCTGCACCTTTAAAGGGGAATAGTCTTCCTCTAAGCATACCTGCCCTCATTGTATTCATCGCTATATATGTCCCAAGAAGGAAGCTCTGATAGAGAACACCACCTGGGATTCTGGTTTGTTACTGCACCTTTAAAGGGGAATAGTCTTCCTCTAAGCTTACCTGCCCTCAATGTATTCATCGCTATATATGTCCCAAGAAGGGAGCTCTGATAGAGAACACCACACTGCCACCTTACCAGTTGAGAGGCAGCATGATGTGCATTTTGAGCAGCATTTGCAATAAGGCCGCATCCGATGTCCTATGTGCAATCTGGGAGTTCAGTTCAGATGCTGAATGTCTGGATGTTGCAGATGCTGAGACAAATCTAATCAAAGTCCAGCCTTGAGGTGTCCAGATTGGGAGACCCCCATCTGCTGGTATTTGGGCAACCTTATCATTATCAGTAACAGAAAACCTCAATCTGCTCACTAGACGTACCTTTGAGATGACATCCAGAGTGACTCTGCACAGCATGTCGTGCATCCCAACCTCACTTTTTCCATTAGCCTTTTCCGCAAGCTTCTCCACTAAGTCCTCGGCTTTCTCATTGAAGGGCGCCATCAATCCAATCAGGTATCTGTATGATCAATACATTACAGGTAACGCGGCCACTGCTTATCTAAGGTCAAGCAAAACAACTGACAAACGCACTCAACAATTCGTCACCAGCCATACAGTAAGGTGCACACGAAATGGGCTTTGAACAGTAAAACAGTAGAAAGGCATCATGGCACACTCACAAACCAGCATGTAAAGCAACTTGTCTCACCACTAAGGTTAATGACAGAGGTTTGGATACACGTCTTCTGCAGAAAATGTGAAAGACGCACAGCCGCGCCACGGCACCTCTTATAGTGCGGTCCTAACTCTAAACTATGAGAGTCTCCATCTTGGAGCACATGGGGGCAGAAGATTTCAAATTGGGTGCAGGTTTGTCAGGAGGAAGCCCAACCTCCTTAAAGGCACAGGGACACACAAGGGATCCCGCACATCCCAATGGCAGCTGAGAACCCCCATGCGTCACTGCACCAAATCGGTCAAGCAAAACAAATGACAAACGCACTGTGCGCACTGTAGTAATGACAATCTACAAACAGATACTTCTAGATAATTGCCGGATATGTATTCTTTGCATTCCTTATTTCTCTTTTCTTCCCCAGCCTTCTGAAAGTGGCCATGTTAACTAAGGGAAAATTACTAGATCTCCCTTTACTTCCTGGAACTCAGGCACATGTGACTAGGACATGTGACCATGCACATCATCTCAGGGGAGGGACATGCCTTCCCCTGAGATCTCCTGAGATTACAGATGAGATTTCCCAGCAATGCTCTGCTGATGACAAGCCAATCCCAGTGTGCATTGCTTTGCCAAACTGAAGTCATTTTTGCCCTTTCAAAGCAGGAAGTGAATGCTCTGCGAGTGTAAGTATTTCATCATCACAGCATTTTACACCTGACATGTCTACGTTATTATTCATCATCATACATGGATTACATCATTTGTGCCAAAATGGACCAGGAAGTAGAGAAAAATAAATTGTAAGTAAAAAAAATAAATATGTTTAGCTAATGAATGTAAGATGAAACGGTCCACTTTAAGTGTAACTTAACCGCAGCAGAGAAAAATCAGGTCTCTTGAATAGCCAGACAGGGCTGTGCTGTGTGGTACAGCTGTGTAAACCTCTGAAATGGACGGACAAACATCAAAATCTATTGGCCAGTAAAGCTTGGCTGTTTGCATGGCTTCCACTTTAACAGCATTGTCTCCAATACCCTCTAAGTTCCTACATCTGATAAATATGTGTACTTACGTTCTACTAAACGCTGGATCCATAATTCTCCTCTGTTTGTGCCAGTGGTCATAATCCCGATCTGTCACTAAGCCTTTCCCCATGAACCTGGTATATGATAGAAAGAAGACACAATAATGTATTATAGCTAGAACATTCTTAATACAGTAAACTCTCTGTTATCCGGTATTCAACTAACCAGAACTCTCATCTAACCAGAAAAAAAATCCCCGGTGTACTCACTGTTCTGCTGATCTGCGGCATGTATTATCCTGGAAATGATCATGTGTCTATTTGTCTTAATTTGCATTGAATTAATGCATTTGGTATAGTATTGCGTATGGCATAGTATGGGGTACGGTATAGTATAGGGTATGGTATAGTATGGGGTATGGCATAGTATGGGGTGTGGTATAGTATGGGGTGTGGTATAGTATGGGGTGTGGTATAGTATGGGGTATGGCATAGTATGGGGTATGGCATAGTATGGGGTATGGTATAGTATGGGGTATGGTATAGTATGGGGTGTGGTATAGTATGGGGTATGACATGGTATGGTATAGTATAGTATGGGGTATGGCATAGTATGGGTTATGGTATAGTATGGGGTATGGCATAGTATGGGGTATGGCATAGTATGGGGTATGGTATAGTATGGGGTATGGCATAGTATGGGGTATGGTATAGTATGGGGTATGGCATAGTATGGGGTATGGGATAGTATGGGGTATGGTACAGTACGGGTTATGGCACAGTACGGGGTATGGCATGGTATGGTATAGTATAGTATGGGGTATGGTATAGTATGGGGTATGGCATAGTATGGGGTATGGGATAGTATGGGGTATGGCATAGTATGGGGTATGGGATAGTATGGGGTATGGCATAGTATGGGGTATGGGATAGTATGGGGTATGGCATAGTATGGGGTATGGGATAGTATGGGGTATGGCATAGTATGGGGTATGGGATAGTATGGGGTATGGCATAGTATGGGGTATGGGATAGTATGGGGTATGGCATAGTATGGGGTATGGGATAGTATGGGGTATGGCATAGTATGGGGTATGGGATAGTATGGGGTATGGCATAGTATGGGGTATGGGATAGTATGGGGTATGGCATAGTATGGGGTATGGGATAGTATGGGGTATGGCATAGTATGGGGTATGGGATAGTATGGGGTATGGCATAGTATGGGGTATGGGATAGTATGGGGTATGGCATAGTATGGGGTATGGGATAGTATGGGGTATGGCATAGTATGGGGTATGGGATAGTATGGGGTATGGCATAGTATGGGGTATGGGATAGTATGGGGTATGGCATAGTATGGGGTATGGGATAGTATGGGGTATGGCATAGTATGGGGTATGGGATAGTATGGGGTATGGCATAGTATGGGGTATGGGATAGTATGGGGTATGGCATAGTATGGGGTATGGGATAGTATGGGGTATGGCATAGTATGGGGTATGGGATAGTATGGGGTATGGCATAGTATGGGGTATGGGATAGTATGGGGTATGGCATAGTATGGGGTATGGGATAGTATGGGGTATGGCATAGTATGGGGTATGGGATAGTATGGGGTATGGCATAGTATGGGGTATGGGATAGTATGGGGTATGGCATAGTATGGGGTATGGGATAGTATGGGGTATGGCATAGTATGGGGTATGGGATAGTATGGGGTATGGCATAGTATGGGGTATGGGATAGTATGGGGTATGGCATAGTATGGGGTATGGGATAGTATGGGGTATGGCATAGTATGGGGTATGGGATAGTATGGGGTATGGCATAGTATGGGGTATGGGATAGTATGGGGTATGGCATAGTATGGGGTATGGGATAGTATGGGGTATGGCATAGTATGGGGTATGGGATAGTATGGGGTATGGCATAGTATGGGGTATGGGATAGTATGGGGTATGGCATAGTATGGGGTATGGGATAGTATGGGGTATGGCATAGTATGGGGTATGGGATAGTATGGGGTATGGCATAGTATGGGGTATGGGATAGTATGGGGTATGGCATAGTATGGGGTATGGGATAGTATGGGGTATGGCATAGTATGGGGTATGGGATAGTATGGGGTATGGCATAGTATGGGGTATGGGATAGTATGGGGTATGGCATAGTATGGGGTATGGGATAGTATGGGGTATGGCATAGTATGGGGTATGGGATAGTATGGGGTATGGCATAGTATGGGGTATGGGATAGTATGGGGTATGGCATAGTATGGGGTATGGGATAGTATGGGGTATGGCATAGTATGGGGTATGGGATAGTATGGGGTATGGCATAGTATGGGGTATGGGATAGTATGGGGTATGGCATAGTATGGGGTATGGGATAGTATGGGGTATGGCATAGTATGGGGTATGGGATAGTATGGGGTATGGCATAGTATGGGGTATGGGATAGTATGGGGTATGGCATAGTATGGGGTATGGTATAGTATGAGGTGTGTTATAGTATGGGGTATGGCATAGTATGGGGTATGGTATAGTATGGGGTATGGCATAGTATGGGGTACGGTATAGTATGGGGTATGGCATAGTATGGGGTACGGTATAGTATGGGGTATGGCATAGTATGGGGTACGGTATAGTATGGGGTATGGCATAGTATGGGGTACGGTATAGTATGGGGTATGGCATAGTATGGGGTACGGTATAGTATGGGGTATGGCATAGTATGGGGTACGGTATAGTATGGGGTATGGCATAGTATGGGGTACGGTATAGTATGGGGTATGGCATAGTATGGGGTACGGTATAGTATGGGGTATGGCATAGTATGGGGTACGGTATAGTATGGGGTATGGCATAGTATGGGGTACGGTATAGTATGGGGTATGGCATAGTATGGGGTACGGTATAGTATGGGGTATGGCATAGTATGGGGTACGGTATAGTATGGGGTATGGCATAGTATGGGGTACGGTATAGTATGGGGTATGGCATAGTATGGGGTACGGTATAGTATGGGGTATGGCATAGTATGGGGTACGGTATAGTATGGGGTATGGCATAGTATGGGGTACGGTATAGTATGGGGTATGGCATAGTATGGGGTACGGTATAGTATGGGGTATGGCATAGTATGGGGTACGGTATAGTATGGGGTATGGCATAGTATGGGGTACGGTATAGTATGGGGTATGGCATAGTATGGGGTACGGTATAGTATGGGGTATGGCATAGTATGGGGTACGGTATAGTATGGGGTATGGCATAGTATGGGGTACGGTATAGTATGGGGTATGGCATAGTATGGGGTACGGTATAGTATGGGGTATGGCATAGTATGGGGTACGGTATAGTATGGGGTATGGCATAGTATGGGGTACGGTATAGTATGGGGTATGGCATAGTATGGGGTACGGTATAGTATGGGGTATGGCATAGTATGGGGTACGGTATAGTATGGGGTATGGCATAGTATGGGGTACGGTATAGTATGGGGTATGGCATAGTATGGGGTACGGTATAGTATGGGGTATGGCATAGTATGGGGTACGGTATAGTATGGGGTATGGCATAGTATGGGGTACGGTATAGTATGGGGTATGGCATAGTATGGGGTACGGTATAGTATGGGGTATGGCATAGTATGGGGTACGGTATAGTATGGGGTATGGCATAGTATGGGGTACGGTATAGTATGGGGTATGGCATAGTATGGGGTACGGTATAGTATGGGGTATGGCATAGTATGGGGTACGGTATAGTATGGGGTATGGCATAGTATGGGGTACGGTATAGTATGGGGTATGGCATAGTATGGGGTACGGTATAGTATGGGGTATGGCATAGTATGGGGTACGGTATAGTATGGGGTATGGCATAGTATGGGGTACGGTATAGTATGGGGTATGGCATAGTATGGGGTACGGTATAGTATGGGGTATGGCATAGTATGGGGTACGGTATAGTATGGGGTATGGCATAGTATGGGGTACGGTATAGTATGGGGTATGGCATAGTATGGGGTACGGTATAGTATGGGGTATGGCATAGTATGGGGTACGGTATAGTATGGGGTATGGCATAGTATGGGGTACGGTATAGTATGGGGTATGGCATAGTATGGGGTACGGTATAGTATGGGGTATGGCATAGTATGGGGTACGGTATAGTATGGGGTATGGCATAGTATGGGGTACGGTATAGTATGGGGTATGGCATAGTATGGGGTACGGTATAGTATGGGGTATGGCATAGTATGGGGTACGGTATAGTATGGGGTATGGCATAGTATGGGGTACGGTATAGTATGGGGTATGGCATAGTATGGGGTACGGTATAGTATGGGGTATGGCATAGTATGGGGTACGGTATAGTATGGGGTATGGCATAGTATGGGGTACGGTATAGTATGGGGTATGGCATAGTATGGGGTACGGTATAGTATGGGGTATGGCATAGTATGGGGTACGGTATAGTATGGGGTATGGCATAGTATGGGGTACGGTATAGTATGGGGTATGGCATAGTATGGGGTACGGTATAGTATGGGGTATGGCATAGTATGGGGTACGGTATAGTATGGGGTATGGCATAGTATGGGGTACGGTATAGTATGGGGTATGGCATAGTATGGGGTACGGTATAGTATGGGGTATGGCATAGTATGGGGCATAGTATGGGGTATTGCATAGTATGGCATTAGTTAGACCTATTTTTAATAGTGACTCTCAAGCAACCAGAAACTACATTTATCCGAAATCTACTAATCCCCATGGATGCCTGATAACGGGGAGTTCACTGTATAACATTTGTATAACTAAAGGAAGCGATTGATTTGAGGCAGGTCGGCCATGTCGGTCTGCATTTTTTCCTTAGTACGGACATTCTCATGGAGACAAACAGACCATTAGGGATATCTGATCTTCTTCATTGCTCCCCTCCAACCCCATATGATTTTCATATCCTTGAAGATGTGGTACGTACCGAACGCCAAACATGTTAAACAGACGTTCGTAAAACCTGTCCTTTGTGTATTTTGGAGACATCAGAAATTCCTATGAAAAGGTATAAAAATAGAAATGAGAACATTGCTCCACCTTACATTGAGTTATAATGGCTGATGTGTACTGTAAATGGAACAGCGGCCATTCAGCCTAGAATTTCTATCAATGAGTACTAGGCGTTCTCTAATTGGTCGAGGGGCCTTGATGTTATATCCATACAGGTAGTAAATGGAAACATTTACAGAAGGGTGAAGAGTTTGGAGAAGTGAACAATCTAGGACAAGATAGCCGATATGGAAAACTTCTCCAACTCAGCTCACTTTCCAGTTCAGCGATGTTGTCCTTGATTGTTCCCTTCTCCGGCCTTCTCCAAACTCTTCACCCTTTTGTGAATAACCCTGTAAGATATCCATCTATCAGTGTTTTCACCCAAGGTACACACAAATTTCACTCAAGATCTCTGTACATTTTTCTACTTGAATCTTTTGTAAAAATGTGTGACTCTTGGGTGAAGGTTGTGTGACTCTTGGGTGAAAACACTGATAAATAGACCCCTCAGCTCATTAAAGGTCCAGGGATGTCACATAGATGGGGTCACACATGTTATATTTAACTGCATCTTATGATGAGATATCTTATGTTTGCACTAATGCTTCAAAGGGCTCATTGAAGGTCCAGGAAAGTTACAGAGATGGAGATGTTCTTACCTTCACTGCTTCTGGGCTGACAACCAGAACAAGCACCCTGTGTAAAAAATTAAGTCGTATGACCGGGCCGTACTTCTGGACCCTAAAAAGAAAGACAAAGTACGGAAACAGATACACTTATTGATCCTTGGAGTGTTTGGAACAACACCATATACACACCTTTTTGGGTCATTATTATTACTTTTTAAAAAGGCCCAGTCCAAATAATATTTACTTTATAAAGGGAGCCCGGTGGGCTCATTCACCTCCTGCCTTCTTATATAGCTAGGAGCATTGAACTGCATGATCTCCCTGCCATCATTCCCGCCTCTGTTCCTCTCTATCTGGGAGTTTTCTGAGGTCCAGTCTACATTTTTGCATTTATGCTCCTTCAGTTACATTGCCTTTAATATAAATAATAAAAGAATCCAGAAGGAAGGGTGGGAACCCCTCATACTAGGGACAAGTATGCAGACTGGACATGTTGGTAAGTCAATTGGCTCCTGTCTAAACTGGTCCTGTATATATCTGTATTAGGGGTCGATCGATTATCCAATCTACTGGTTATTATGGACGATATGCAGACATTTTAAAATAATCGGTACTGGGCTTAAATCGATATTACGGATAAGTGCCAAAAGGGATCCTCCACTGGCAGGCGCCCTGCCGCTGCAGGAGCAACCAGTGCCCCTAAGGACCCCATGCACATCCAGTGCCTCCATTGTGCCCCCACATCTAGTGCCTCCATGTCCCCCCGCACATCCAGTGCCTCCATTGTGCCCCCACACTTCCAGTGCCTCCAGTGTCCCCATGCACATCTAGTGCCTCTAGTGTAACCCCACATCTAGTGCCTCCATGTCCCCCCGCACATCCAGTGCCCTCATTGTGCCCCCACATCCAGTGCCTCTAGTGTAACCCCACACATCCAGTGCCTCCATTGTGCCCCCACACATCCAGTGCCTCCATTGTGCCCCCACACATCCAGTGCCTCCATTGTGCCCCCACATCCAGTGCCTCTAGTCCTGGCTATGTGTTAATTTGCCAGCACAAGATTCTGCAGCCGGATGTAAACAGAATATCTGATATTGGTTATCGGCCTAAAAGGTGGCCCATAATCAGTATCGGTTCTGAAAAAATGATATCGGCCGACCCCTAGTCTGTATGCATATGAGAGAGGGACCTTAGATTGTAAGCTCCTTGGGGACAGGGACTGATGTGAATGTGCACTATGTAAAATTGTCAGTACTTTTTTTCTGCATCCACCAAAAGCTGAGCCATCAGTGTTGTGTGGACTGACCCCTATTATATGATTATTTGCACTTTTCTCATAGACTCGCAGAACTCCACAATCAGTTTTTTTGCTTTTGATCCCCCTTCCCCCCCTCTCGCTGTACGGCTTGGGTAGGCACCCTCAGCACTCCAACTGCTGTAGACCTACAAGTTCCATGAAGCATTGCAAGAGGCGTGATAACATTTGTAGTTTCAACACAGCTGGAGTTCTGTGGTCACCTACCCCTGATATAAGTTAAATGATTGCAGAACTTACCACTCTAAAAACAAGTCATACATAAGCTCATTTTTCTTGATTAGCTTCAATGTTGTGGGAATATGTCCAAAGATGAAGCTGAAAGTGTAAATACATTTCTGTTAGTGAGACAGTAGAGTGTATTCTCTGTAAACAAATATTTTTGTTACAATTGCAGTGTTCACCTTAAAGGAGAACTATGAGGTAAGTGCTTTTCACTCATCCTCATAGTTCTAGCCGACCTGTGACAATGAGACTGTCACAGGTTGGCTCAGTAGATCGAGAAGTGAGCGAACACATACCGGCGTTCGCTTACCTCTCGATCCTGTCACGGCTGGATTCCCCGCTCCGATCCTTCAGTGCTGAGTGGAGGAACGGACGGGGGAGGGGGCGCGTACAGCTGGCTCTGCCTCTAGATAGGCAGAGCCAGCTGTCAGTCACGCAGCTGGGCGGATCCAGACATAATTGTCGGGATCCGTTTCAGCTGCGGCGTCTCGGCATACTGCGAGCTGTAGCTCGCGGTATACTGAGCTTAGGGTGACGGGAGGACACTAGTTTGTGTCCTCCCGTTACCTTTAGGAGAACTATGGGGAAAAGCGCTAACCCCATAGTTCTCCTTTAATGTGACACTAAGCCGCTCCAAGCTCACTCCCGGGATCGACTACAATCTCAATACAAATTAGTAAACTAAACGTGAGATTGTAGTCCATCACAGGAGCGAGCTTGGAGCGGTGACTACTTTAAAACACACACCTCGATCATGGGGAACAAAAGTAGCCACCCTCCAGAAGGAAGGACAGTGTCAGCACCAATTCAGAGATGATTGGAGGATCTACAGCCGAGTCATACATAAATAAGATACATTTTTGTTAATAGTTAAGGTAATTGAATGGATGTTTAAGATTTACCTCCTGAGTTTCGTGTCACTTTAGATGTAAACATTTAGTTTGCTTCAGCACTGTGATGTGACCATGTTTCATATTACACACTAAGGCTAAGTTCACACCTAGGCGAGACCTCACCGTGCGGCAATCATGCACGATTCCGCACAGATTGCCGCGTGGTCAGGAGTCACCAAGGTGTGAACCGATTGCGCTGTGGGCGCCATTATTTTCTAATGGCACCCCAGTCGCTCCGGTGGATCCAGCGGTTTCCCACCGCGATTCCGCCCCCGTGCTTCCAAACACTAAAACAGCCGCGCGTCGTGTATCGCAAAAAAAAAAGGTAAAAATTTACCATTTTTCTGTGATTGCCGCGCGGATGTCACCCCATTGAAATCAATGGGGCCACGTGGCAATCGCGTCCCGGGTGTCGTGCGGTGTTGTGCAGGTGTGAACCTAGCCTAAATATGGATGCAACATAGAACATGGTCCGAAAGGCACAAAAAAAGCCTTTATTTTTATGATTGTCTTCAGTTCATATGGTTAATGTAACTCGAATAATATAAGGTCCTCTTACCTGTCTCTGGGGGGGCCGGGAATGTGGTCATATTTCTCGTGCATGTAGAAGACATATCCGCAGAATAGGATAAAACAGAGTGCAACCAGGGCTAGAAGAAGAGCGAAAATCCAGAGAACAAGGGCCCACATTGTCACGGAGCCGCACGCAGACACCTTTGGGCTCACAGGAACACTTGTTAATACTAAATCAGCTGCTGAAAATAGGACAAAGGGCCGTCTTTAATTGCACAGCAACAAACTCGATTCCCCTGGATAGGCCCAACCTTTTTCAGACTGAGGCATCTACAATAACACAGGGTCAGTGCAGAGCATAGCACAGTATGCCAAACTGGTATTGCTTTACATTGTAATAGTATTCTTTGTACATTATCAGCATAACACATGCTTCAAACCCTGTGCTGCCTGCAAGGTTACAACGCAGAAGGCTGAGAAAGAAGCAGCTATGCAAATGTCGGCGAAGGCGGCTGTACATATCAGGGGCCCTTTAAGGGGTGACAGATTTCTGCTTTGAGCTGCATATAGCTTTTCTGGCGATCAGGAAAATAGATGCATAAAGGAGGGAGATTTGTTAGATGGAGTCGTGTAGTGGACATCTTGGGAAGGGGGAAGTAATAAAAACATTGTATCAACTTTGTCTTAACTGGATTACATTTTATATTAAACAAAAGACACTGCGCTATCTCTAATATTATAAAATCAGTGAGTCAATCATTGCATATAAAGTTCCACAACTTTATATGCAATGATTATTTGACTCACTGATGTAAAGAAAGTGAACACAAGGATTTCATCACATTTATTTTTGATCATATCAATTTTGGGAATATTTTTATATGGACTTATACAGGTGAAACTCGAATAATTAGAATAGTGCTGCAAAAGGGGCCCAAACCAAGTACTGAGTACATATGCATGCTTGTACTTTTCAGAGGTCCGATATTGTTCTATGTACAATCCTTGTTTTATTGATTGCATGTAATAATCTACTTTTTTGAGGTTGTGGATTTGGGGTTCTTGGGGTTTTCATGAGCTGTAAGCCATAATCATCACAATTATGACAAATCACGGCTTGAACTATCTTGCTTTGCATGTAATGAGTCTATCTCATATATTAGTTTCACCTTTTAAGTTGCATTAGTGAAATAAATGAACTTTGCACGATATTCTAATTATTCGAGTTTCACCTGTATATAAGTTGGAGTGGACGTTTTGTATAATTGTCACTAAGTATATGCACTTAGAGTTGTATAATATTAGAGATAGCGCAGTGTCTATTGTTTAATATATTGTGGGAGAAGTTTATATAGCTTCTCTCTATCTCTGCAGCTGTCAATAGGGTGTTATTGAGGAGTTTGGGGTAGAGCACTATAGCGCGGATAATCATTTGTTTTGCTGCTTAACTAGATTACAGACAATCAGCTATAACATTTTCATTTATTAAGCTGTGTGAAAAAAAAAATGAATATAGAAGATGATTGGTTGCTATGGGTGACTTCACCAATTGAGATAGAACTTGTCTCAGACACTTTTGGGTTGATTTATAAACATTATCTGTTAACGTTCATCCTGTGCGAATATCTGCAACCAATAAAGTAAAGTAGTCACCGCTCCAGGCTCACTTCTGTGATGGACTACAATCTCAAAACAAATTAGACTGTAGTCCATCCCGGGAGAGAGCTTGGAGCAGTGACTACTTTACAACACACACAGGGACCATGGGGAACATGAGTAGCCCCCCTCCAGAAGGAATGACAGTGTCAGCACCAATTCAGAGATGATTGGAGGCTCTACAGCCGAGTGATACACAAATAAGATGAATTTTTTTGAATAGTTAGGACTCATTCACACTGGGCGTATAGTTCTGTGCGGCGTGCACATCCATCAATAGCCGACCCCGGAGGGACAGGTGCTGTGTGTGATTGCGCGCAGCAGCCTGTTCTTCCCTACGGGAGGACGCGGCTGTACGGTGTCACATGGACACCCGAACTGCACATCCGTCATACGTGTGTCCGAACTTGGACGCAGACAGGATCCATCCTGCAGACACCCATACCCTCATGGATGACAGTGTACAGCCACGTCCTCCCATAGGGAAGAACATGCTGCTGCGTGCAATCACACGCAGCACCTGTCACTCCCAGGATTGGCCGTTTACAGGCGTTCACACCGCACAGACATGTACGCCCAGTTTGAATGAGGCCTCAGGCTATGTTCACACCATGTCCGGAATGGATCTAGAGCAGGTCTGTAAACGCAGTGCAGTGCATTTTTTGCCGGTGCTGTTTTTTTTTTTTTTAGCTTAAAATGGGCTTTCAGGGCCCAGTCACACCATATCCAGTGCGTTTTGGTGTGGTCCGAGCCCGGAACGCACTGGATCGCATAGATCAGGCTGGGCCACCTTCGAGAGTGGGAGGATGCGTGGGGGTGCCATTCATATCAATGGCACCGCAGGCACGCCGCCTGCCCGCAGTGCAATTGCCCGCACTGGAACACAAAGTACAAGAATGCCCTCCATTCCAGTGCAGTGCCATCGGAAAAAATTGTGCATGCAGCATTCCTGTACCTCGGATTCCGCGGCGGCCGAACGCACTGCGGATGGGGGGCGTGCCTGTGGTGCCATCGACGTGAATGGCACCGTCACACCCCCGTCCGCCCCAGAACGTGGCCCAGCCTGATTTATGCGTTCCAGTGTGGTCCCCGGCTCGGACTGCGTCAGAATGCACTGGATATGGATTTTAAGCTAAAACAAAAAGAATCGTGGCAAAAATGCACCGCACTGCGCTTGCAGATCTGCTCCGGACATGGCGTGCACATAGCCTTAAACAATGTTGACTTTAATGTCACTGTAAAGGGTTAGTTCATCTTATGCCTCCTATAAAGCCCAATCTCAGCAGTTATTACGCCTCACTCTGATGCCAATCTTAATGTATATAGTCATGTCTATCAACCGTTAGCTTACCTCTGTGTTCTAATGTCTGTTCTTTAATTGTTTGTTTTGTTTTTTAATAACTGCAATTCAGGATTTCTCTTTCTGCTTCCTACTTCCAGTTATCACAGTCATGTCAAACGGTAGTCAACGGCCATTATAAGAAACAGCTCGAGTTATTGGGAGGTTAGTATGCCTGTCAAGGAAAACAGGAAACAATGACGCAATGCTGGGAGGGGAGGGAGAGCTTGCCGTCATACACATGCTGCGGAGAGCAAGAGGGAGGAGGAAGTATTAACCCCATTATTCCTGACAGTACACATAAGACTAAGACTGTATTGTGCAGAGTTCCCCCTTACATCAGAGTTCCCCCATCTATCAGCATTCTCCCTTACAGCAGAGTTCCCCCATAAAACAGCATTCTCCCTTACAGCAGATTTCCCCCATAAAACAGCATTCTCCCTTACAGCAGAGTTCCCCCATAAAACATCATTCTCCCTTACAGCAGAGTTGAGAATGTTGACATGTGGGGGAACTCTGCTGTAAGGGAGAATGCTGATATATGGGGGGACTCTGCTGTAAGGGGGGAAGCTCATATATGGGGGAACTCTGATGTAAGGGAGAATGCAGATATATGGGGGGACTCTGCTGTAAGGGGGGAAGCTGATATATGGGGGAACTCTGAAATCAGGGAGAATGCTGATTGATTGAGGTTGTTAAGCTGCTGGTTAGGCTGCCTTACCAGTGACCCGAATGAACTAAATCCTATTCCTTGTAATGAACAGAATCAGAGCCAAGTTCCCAACCCCCACTGCAGTTATGTTTGTCACTGACTCACCCATAGCCTGCTGACTGGACAGTGAACACAGTATGATTACAGTATGATATTTGACCAGCAGATGGCAATATAACATCCTTGCAGACTGATACACACAGTTGTGTGAAAAAGAAAGCACACCCTCTTTGAATTCCATGGTTTTATGTATCAAGGCAGAATAAAAATCATCTGGTCCTTAGCCAGTCTTAAAATTAGGTAAATACACCCTCAGATCAACATCACATGACCTATCACACTGTATTACTATTTTATTTACAAACATAAAGCAAAAATAGAGAACCCAGGTGTGAAAAATGAAGTATTATTGTTATTATACAGGATTTATATAGCGCCAACAGTTTGCGCAGCGCTTTACAATATAAGGAAGACATTACAATCACAATACAATTCAAGACAAGATGGTAAGGAGGGCCCTGCCCCTGAGGGCTTACAATGTAAAAGGGAGGGGCAAGTGATACATGAGGAGGGAGCTGTGTGGGGATGAATTGTATGAGAAAGTGATAGTTCAGTGGTTAGGTTGAGGTGGGACAGGCTTCTCTGAAGAGATGAGTCTTAAGGGATCGTCTAAAGGCAATCAGAGTGGGAGACAGATGGACAGGTTGAGGTAGAGAGTTCCATAGGATGGGAGAGACTTTAGTGAAGTCCTGGAGGCGAGCATGGGAGATGTTGACGGAGCTGCAAAGCAGGAGGTCTTGGGAGAAGCAGAGGGGACGGTTAGGGTGATGCTTTGAGACGAGGTTGGAGATATAGCCGGGGGCAGAGTTGTGGATGGCTTTGTAAGTGGTTGTTAATATTTTGAATTTTATCCCTTGGGCTATTGGAAGCCAGTGCAGGGATTGGCAGAGGGGGGCGGAGGAAGGAAAACAGGAAACAATGACGCAATGCTGGGAGGGGAGGGAGAGCTTGCCGTCATACACATGCTGCGGAGAGCAAGAGGGAGGAGGAAGTATTAACCCCATTATTCCTGACAGTACACATAAGACTAAGACTGTATTGTGCAGAGTTCCCCCTTACATCAGAGTTCCCCCATCTATCAGCATTCTCCCTTACAGCAGAGTTCCCCCATAAAACAGCATTCTCCCTTACAGCAGATTTCCCCCATAAAACAGCATTCTCCCTTACAGCAGAGTTCCCCCATAAAACATCATTCTCCCTTACAGCAGAGTTGAGAATGTTGACATGTGGGGGAACTCTGCTGTAAGGGAGAATGCTGATATATGGGGGGACTCTGCTGTAAGGGGGGAAGCTCATATATGGGGGAACTCTGATGTAAGGGAGAATGCAGATATATGGGGGGACTCTGCTGTAAGGGGGGAAGCTGATATATGGGGGAACTCTGAAATCAGGGAGAATGCTGATTGATTGAGGTTGTTAAGCTGCTGGTTAGGCTGCCTTACCAGTGACCCGAATGAACTAAATCCTATTCCTTGTAATGAACAGAATCAGAGCCAAGTTCCCAACCCCCACTGCAG